CATGCAGGAGGTAAACCGAAGTCGACTTGCTGGCAAACGACTCGACAAGCGAAACGGCGGTCACAATTTTCTTTTCTGGCCCAATCCCCACGATCTCCAGTGACCGCTACGCGTCGGTACGGTGAAGAGATCATATTTGGATGCGGATTGATGGGGAGAACAAGAAAATTCCTCCGATCCAAACGAGCCGGAACTCAGTTCTGGCTCTTCGAATTCTCTCAATGGAACTTCCTGGCACGGAAAAGTCAAGAATCGAAAGCGTACGCCAAGCGGACTAGGGGATTTTCAAAAGAGATTTATCGGGCTTCTGAAATTTCTCTCCACCGGCTGTTGCTCTCGGCCGCAACACCGAGACCTTCGGGGAGAAAGAACGCTCCGGCTGCGCGGTTACCAACTGCCGGTGCCCCTTCAAGGCCAGGGGCGATGCCCCCGCTGCCTGACGTTCCAGCATCGGAGCCAAGCAACCGACCGAGTGACCGCGCGTCGTCGCCAGAACCGGCGTTGGGGATGAAGTTCTCGCGATCGCGCACCTACCCAGAACCGGCGGCTTGGTAAAGTGTATTTTCTGTTTCTGTCCAACCGTGTTCTCTCTACGATCGTAGAGAGCGAGAGACGCAAGCGTGCGACCCAGGTCTGCCCTGATCGGTGCCAGTTCAAGGCTACAACGTTCGCGACGCCGCCTCGGCTGCCGCAGGGTTTAGTGAACTTTTTCCAGAGCGCGAGTTTCATCGCCAACAAGAAACGAAACAACGACAGAAACCGAGAGCCTTGAGAAAAGCAGACTCTCCGCATACATGCATTCGGAATCGCTTTTCATGGTCGACGAGCGGAATCGAAACGAATAAGCGTCACTGCTTATAGAATCGGTAGCGTAAACGGCAAGCGATAGTTGTTCGGCGGTTTAGGTTGTTGATCGGCGGCTTGGCCCGTCTGCCCGTCAGTCGGTCGCTCGCTCGCTCGGCCGAATGGCTTGTCGATGACGCTCCTACGCGGGCCCCTCAGCAAAGCAACAGCACAGCAACGGCAATGCTCGTTGGAAAAGCAGCGCTCGCATAGGCCTCTAGGGGCAACGCACTTCTGACTGCAGCCGTCCGTCCATTCGTCCCTCCGTCGGTCCGTCCGTCCGCCCGCCTGCTCGTCCGTCCGTCTGTCGGTCCGTCAGTCAGTCAGTCAGTTACTAAGCCAAGCGGCCATGCTGCTGCTTGTAAGCAAAGCAAAGCACTGCTCGGGGCTTCAGCTGGCGACGGCCGACGGAACCGTCGCCGCCAGTGGAGCCGGTCCGTAGACAGTTCGTAAGGATAGCGAGCAGAGTTCGACGCGGCTCCATCCGTTCTCCTCGTCGGCTGTCACGGGTGCCGCCCCTGTAACACTGTGGCACACTGGTCGGTCCGTTGGGCTCACGACACACAAACACACTCACGGCACTGCTCTGCAGAAGAAAAAATCGGATGTACATACAGCAGAAAAGCGCCGAATATGCTTCGAAGCCGAGACACTGGACCATATCTCGAGCTTTGATGTAATACCCGGCTCAGTGACTGATGAGTGATAGAGTGTCGATACGCGCGTGCGACTCATAGTTGTTCTAATGCGCCCTTAAATATACGTATCAGCGGACAACTCGAAACTGAATCGGTTGCTAAATCGGGTGTTTACGGCGGCGGCGGTGGAATCGACGAGCTTAAGGCATGACGCCACGGATCTACGAGTGGGGCTATGGAAAGCGACGACTCGCCTTATACATGCAATCTCCTATGACGCGGCTTCAATACGAACGCTTATCGTCTGGATATCTTCGAGCTATGCCCTCCCTGTCCTCCTCGGGAAACTGAAGCACCTGGCGTCTACGGAAAAACGGGATCGTTTTGTTTTGATTAGGCGAGGAGGCCGAGTCCGAATAGATATTTATCCACTGAGGAGATATTGAGCGACGCTTTAGGATTTTCTTCCCCATCAAACCTCGAACGATATGCAACGTCGGATTTACGTAACGAGAGATCCATTCCACATGGTCGTCATGACGCATGCTCCGGCGGAAAACAAAACAACCATCCCGACGAGCGAGCGGTCCGCGATTCTCTGTTTGGCCTAGTTCGTGACGACCGACGGACGTCTCTCAACGTCAATGCTCTACGATTCGCTTGCGCTCTCTATCCTCTTCGAGAGGGGAAATTTCAGCATTCCAGTCAGACAGCGAGTCTAGCCCATCGGAAAGTCGAATCGATCGCGCGGCATTCTACGACGCTTCTCCTGTTTCCTCAGGAAGAACGACAGAAATGGCAGCCGTCAGCGCCATAGCAGCAAAAACGGCGGCATCCTTGAACCAGGCGTTCGGCCCTGAGAGGTCGTTCCCCAACTCGAGGACGTGCTGAGCTCGCTCATTCGCCTTTCTACGGTCTGTCTGCGCGAGGAGAAGAAGCACGATATCTCGCGAGACTCTGCGTACGAATTCGATATAGGCCAAGGAGTACTTGTTGCTCTGTCCTCTTCCCTTCTCGGTTCCTGGTGGGATGGCTATCGTCTGCCCATCAAGGACGTCGATGCCGCAAGCTCAAAAACTGGGATATTCAGGATCAACGGCGCTACTGGAAACGCGGGCCGACTCCTCTCACTACCACGAGCTGCAGGTCGAGGGAATCTTTGCGGGACCAACAGCGGGCGAGCGAGCGAACGCTATCGAGGAGTCCTCCGGACAGCGAGCTCAATGAACCGTCAGTCATTCAGCTTGCGCGGATTCGCGAAAACAAAAATCAACTCCACGCCTCTCAGCAGCGTCACTGAGCCGCTGAGCTTCCCGCGCGTCTGGCCCGACCACCGCGAGCTCGTCGCGCTCGCGCTATCGCCTTACCGAAGAGCTCCTCAATCGGGACAAGGAGCGTGAATCCTGAGAGAACCGATGCGGCCTCGAAATCGAATGTTCGAACGCAAACGTAATGTTCCCTCCGTGTTCGTCGTAAACTTTTCCGTGATTTTTGAAGGTCAGTTGCATCACTCCAGCGAAGGTTCTCCCTCCTTCATTTTCTGGAGAAAACGCACCGAAAAATCTCAGCTCGTCGCGGCCGCCGAGGCAGTCAGCGAGTGAATCTGCCTCTTTCAGACGGCGCCTTGTTTCTAGGAACAGCTAAAGCCCGCTATCGGCCCGAGGGAGTTCAAGGGCAACGCCCTGAGCCGTCGTCGTGCTTCCCTAGCGGCAGAGACGGCAAAGAGCCCCCGAGAGCCTCGTACCCCGACCCGTTTTCCCGGCTGTGTTCCCCATCTCCATAAATCAGGCCCCCGTGCAATCGACCCTACGCCCGTCAGGCAGACTCGGAGATCCAACGGTGCGGCGAGCACCCCACCGACCGGCCGGCAATACACCCACCGAGCCACCCACCCCACCAGCTTCCATTGAACGCTCCCTTCCTCCCTCCCTCTCCTTTGCCTCGCTGTCGAATGATCCCCAGCAAAGCAGGACCGCTGGGCGCGGTGGGGTGGGCTGAGCGCGGCCCTGGGCCTTCGTGCACGAGCCTTCAGAGAGACAACCGGGAGGCCGTGGATAGGCGGGCGAGCGGGCGAACAGACAGACAGACGGCCGGACAGAGAGCCAAGTCGGCAAATCGATGTGGCCCTGAAACTTCGGGGGCATTGTCCTCTCCTGCCGGCTGGTCGGTGTTACCACGGCCTGCAGTCCACAACGAAGCGGGTGGATCTGTCGGGGAGATTCTAAAGATGGCAAGCAGCAAACGATTCGAGCTTGTCCTACCAGCAGCATGAACGGCGGTAGTCGCGAAAGGAGCAAAATAGGCATCGGTAGCTGAGCGACCGACCGACGGACCGACGACGCCACTCGAAGGCTCTTTGCGTGCCGTCGACCGCGATCCTCTCTCCAAGGCCAGAGTTCGACGTCCTACCCAGTGCGAAGAATCGCCGTGGGGCATTGCACTTAAAACAGGACACAGCTGCAAGGACAGCGACCTTCGACTCGTCACGCCTAGCCTTTCGCTATGTAGATCCTGGAGTAGACGCGCTTCGGCTTTATCCTCGTGGCCGATATGATGTGTAGTACGTACGATAGCTCGGTCTAGCGCAATGCCGTCGGCTTGGGAGCTTTAAACTTCCATTGGTAACTCAAGAATCCGCTCCCAATGCGAGGCTCTCAGATAATTCCATGATAAATCGTCTCGAGTTGGCCTCTGTCGATTCTTCAGAAAGCGAGCGCCCACAAAGTGGGTCGCTCGCGATCTCGAACGAAGTCACAGTGGTCCCCATGACGAAGCGTTTCCCGAGCGACCGACGGAGATATTCCCTCGAATAGTTTTCCCAGATCTCGGGGAGGAATTCCGTTCTTCGCACTCCGGATCTCCGCAGATCCTCGCGCTTCCCGACGTCGACGTCGTAGTCGTTGCCGTCGTTGTTGCTGTTGTTCTTGTTGTTGTCGTCGTCGGTCTTCAGCGGCCGATGTACTTTCACTGCGAAGACCTTGAACGGAGGCAGCCATTGAACTCGGTCATCAACCTCATGGCAGCCAGCGGCGAATCAGAGAGGCCGCCTTAGCTACGTCACGCGGCGAGCCCTTTCCACCGAGCTATAAAAGCGTTCCACTCCTCGCCTCCATGCTTACTTTCCGACAATACCGAGACGACAAGAGATCGCCGACGGTTGTTTTCATCAGACATTGTTCACGTTGTTCTCGTAGTCAGCGTAGACTTTGAGAAATCGTTCGTGGATTTCTCTCAGCGTTCACCCGAGCAACGATCAGGCAGAACACTCAGCTGCCAAGTGGTTGTCACAATCTGAATCATCAAGTGGTGCCCTCACTCGACTCCAAACTGGAGCAAAACCGAACCTAGTGCATACTCGCAAGGATAAGCAGTGAGGACTCAATGTGCTTTTGGAAATTGTGAGAGCTCCAATCAAACCAACGACGGACTTGTTGTGGTTGTCGCGCTCGACGACATCGTCATTGTTCCTCCCTTGATCGCCCATTCATCGATCGGGCTCGAGCAGCGAAAATGGTCAAGATGGTTCTGAGCGAAAGTAACGTTCAGAGGTTCAATCAGCAACAGAGACCGTCCGTGTTCGCTCACGGCTCTCGGTCGGTCGCGTCCGACACAGAGCAATCGCAAAGCCCCGTGCCCCCGAGAAGCAGGGCCCGCGCCGAGGATATTCCTCTAGGTCAGTAGTACATAGTGTGGTGCTTTTGAGATTTATCCACATGATGATGACGATCTCGGAGCGAAGTGTCCGTTGCTCGCCGCCGTCCCAGGCGCCGATAGGACGTCTATTCAGCGGTGGCGGCAAACGCGACGGCTCGCTCGATCTAGGTAGAGGGCCCGAAGGCCATGTGACGGCGAGGCCCCCAAGGCCACATACTCTGTGCTCGACCTCGGAGCCGATCAATTCAAGCTCGAGGCTGAGATCGCGCGGAGGACGTTTCCGAGTGGATTTCGTTCGGTTCGGAGTGAGGTTCCGCCTCGCCGGGAGTAGTAATCTCCACTCGAGCGAATATGGGTTATTGGGAATTCTAAGGTGACACTCTCCTCGCCGAGCGTTGAGGTTGTTGCCCTCCAGAGTGCATTGCACTCCGAGAGGAGACGTGAGCGAAAGAGTGGAATCAGTCTCTCACTAGGCCACACGAGGTTTTGAGCGTCTGGAAAGCGTTTGTCCCTGAATCGAAAGCAGGACCATTGAATGAAATCCTCGCGCACCAGAAATTTGAACTTGGGCTCAACGGGTGATCTAAACGGGTGACGACGACGACGATCAGTACAGAATCCGAGCCGGAATCGGCTGCGCGGTTCCGTTAGGGGCGTTTGAATTTTCGAGCTCGAGCGAAAGTTTTCGGAGAAGCCTTCTGGTCTGTCGGTGTTGTCAGAGTCGCGGTTCCCCGATGAGTGAACCCTTTCTCTGTTCACGGGTTCTGTTTCGGTTAACCGAAGCGCAGGCTAACGATGTTCGGAGCTTTCCGTTTCTGACGGGCGTCGTCGACGTTCGAAGTTGTCGACTTTCGGACGGATGAGAGCAGCGGAAGAAGACGACGAACTTGTTCAATTTGTCGCAGCCGATGTTTCTGGCGTCGGTGACTACAAGAGCAACTCTGTATTATGGCCCTCACAGAGCAAGCGACCACCAATAGCCGCGGCGGCAGCGGCACCATTGGGATGAAGGTCGAGGCCGCTTCCCTTGCCCTGCGCACTAGCGAAACCGATCGCTAGCCAAGTTGCATAGAACGCTACTAGCCAGCCGCCAAACTCACCCACGGTCTCACGTAGACAAGGCGATACTGGGAGAAAGCTCGTTGGCCTACTGTGATTCCGCGATGATTCTCTCGTGCTCGACGAATTTCGAAGTTTCAACGAGAGATCGCTCGTCGCCCCATTGACCTAGTGAATTGGTCCTCGTTGTTCGAAAACTTCGTGAATAAATTGTGTGCTGTGCTCTCTGGATAAATCTGTCGTTGTGTAGTGGAATTTTCCGCGTTCGTTCTCGAATTCGGTCCTGTTTCGTGTGTTTCCCGCTCGAACCCGTTTATATCGGAACGAACAATTCTGATATGACAACAGAATATTGTACAGATTTGGAAGGTGCGTGTTGGCGCGAGCTCCATGAATGAACCTGTTGTAGGGCAACGAGGATTCTTCGACCAGGTCGTCTTCTCGTCCGCGTAGCCCCTAGCCGATCACTCGAAGCGACGATTATGTATCTTACGTATGTGTGAAACCCTTTTCAGAATTCGATGGAACCACCGTGTTGTGTCGTGTATGCGGCGACAAAGCCTCCGGCTTCCACTACGGAGTCCACTCATGCGAAGGATGCAAGGTACGTACGAAAACATCTTGAGCTCGACAGCGTAGCAGCAGCAGCAGCCGCTAGTCTCAGTCAGTCAGTCAGTAGGTTTTGTTTGGCTCGGTTGAGCTCAACAGAACTTTAGGGTTGAGAGGGTTTCGCTATTGTTGTTGTAATCGCGCGACCAGGTCAAGAAAGGCACCCCCTTCGGGAATCCCTTTCGAGTCTCCTACGATCTGTCGAATGAAGGGTGATGAACTTTGAGCAACTTCTGCTCCGGGCTGGCTAGCACAGGCTGGCCGGTAAAAGTAGCCAACCGATCGGAGCCAATACCGTATGGAGCTTCTGAGAGGAGCTACAGAAGAATAGATCCATCAGCGAGCGAGAGAGAGCTTCCGAATTCCTGCTCAGGTCGAGCCAACAACCTGAAGTCGCTCAAGCTTCGGTCTTTCCGGTTGTCGAAATTTCCTTAATGGATGGACCGGGCTCGGGCCGCTGAAAAGACGCGATTCCATTGCGAGATTAACGCGGTGCGGGTCAGTGTGAGCGAGGACTCTGGAGGCGATCGTCATGAGGAGCATTCAGAGCGAGGGAGTTCCCCAGAGCTACTCGATGCGGCGGCCGATGTCTCAGGCCGCCGGCATCGTAAATTAAGGATGTCTTATCCAGGACTTCGCTCGATCGTTGAGTGTTGCCTCGAAAATAGGTACCGGGCGACAAGGGTGGCTGAGCACATCTCTGCTGAGTAACTGTATGAAGGCTGCTGAGGCCGAGGCTGAACCTACTTCAGCGCCAGCGATGCCCTCACGGCTATGAACTCAACTAAAATCGATCACGGACTCGCTCTCTGCTGGCCTAGTTTCTCCGCGGCCGCCGCTCGAGTCGACCGGCCTGCCAGCCAGCCCCCAGGTCCTCAGAGGTTCGGAGCGCGCGCGTCGGGGGAAAAGAGGACTCCTATGCGGGCCCTACATACAGTGAGAGAGGCAGGGGAGACGGTATGGGTTAGTATCAGTTATGGGAGCAGCAGCAGAGGACCTGGGGCGAAAGAGAAGCGAAAACGAAGGTTCTTTGCCTCCTCCGAACTCCTCGACCCAGATGTTGTTCTGCCCTCGTACGGAGAGGTCGACGCGCTCTTCTTGGATCAGTTGAGCTGCGACCGAGCTTAAGCGAGAATCGTCGACCGGAGGCTTTTCATCTGTTGTATGGCCGACCAGCTGATCGACCCAGTGGCAATCCGACCGACTGACTGACTGCTTGTCTGGGCGGGCAGGCGCGCTCGCTCGCTCAAGGACGATCCATTTTCTCTGGATCTTGGTTTAAACAGTGCTAACCGGACTTTTCTGTGACCATCAGGGTTTCTTCCGGCGCTCCATTCAGCAGAAGATCCAATACCGACCCTGCACCAAGAACCAGCAATGCGCCATTCTTAGGATAAACCGGAACCGTTGCCAGTACTGCCGACTGAAGAAGTGCATCGGTGTTGGGATGTCCCGAGATGGTAAGTCCGAACAACTTTGCCCAGTGCACCCTAGAATCTAGCCCACCCGTAGAAAACCGTAGCTGGGGACCGAAGATACCCTGGGACGATCGATAGAGAAATTTCCGCCGCACTATTCCGCCCGTGTGGACTTCAAGGAAGACGCCTGCCGGAAAAGCCCGGGTTTCGGTGTGAGGTCGCATTCGGGGAGTCTCAAAATTTTCGGCTCCTCCACATTCTTCTCCGCGCCCTCCCGGCAGATGCGGAGCGCCGGACAAGAGCCGCTCTCGAACGAGCACGACAACAAACGCTGGTCACAAGCTTCTCCATCATCATCTCGGCGATGAAGCCGACGATCACGACCGTCGTCAGCACGAACTCGCACCGGGATCGAATTCGAACGCATAGATGGCGCTACGGGTGCTCGGGGGAGTCCCGAGCTCGATGGAGACTGCGGGCGACAACTCCAGAGGGCGCCACTTGGTTCGCTCTCGAAATTCGGAGATCAAAGCACTCGGCGTAGTGCGCGCAAGAGTCGTCAGATGGCGTCACCGTGCCAGGATAGGATAGGACGGTGGCCAGCCACCTGACTCAGATCTAGGTCGTGATTGGTTTGCTTCTTTGAAGTTCAAGGTCAACGACAGCAACGGCGGCGGCACGGAGGAGAGAAAGTGTGCGCGCGCTGCCTCTCTGATGACGACAGCGACTAGAGAGCGAGGAGTTTCATCGGCGCTCTCTACCGCCGCCGCCGGGAGCAGCTCAACGAGAGACTTGTATCATCAAGAACAACAGCACAGCTCGAGACTGGCAGCCAAGCAGGCGGGCAGGCGGTCAGTCAGTCAGTCGCTATCGAGATCTCGAGGAGAGCGCTCGTCGCGTCCGTGTGCTCCTCAGCCGGCCAACGTGTGTCGTTTGTGATCCTGCGTGCCACCGCCTGTCGGTCTGTTTGGCGCTCTAAGCGAGCAAGGAGTCAGCTTGCTTGCCAGTAGTGACGACGACGTCGCCGCCGCCGCCTTCTACGTCAGCACCGCGGCGGCCTTCGGTGCTGCCGCCCGTTCGCCACCATCGCTGCTCACTATTGTAACTAGTCGAGAGCGAGGGTTGGTGCTCTCAGTGCGCGGCTGTCTTCCGGCCAGTGAACTTGAACCCTTGTCGTGTCGCCGTAACCGACCGTCGAGTCGGCCGTGTGAACATTCGTGTGATCGGTGGAACGTCCACCGGTGCTGTAGTTCGATATCCTTCGACGTCACAGCGGCAAATAAAATGCAGTCGGCGCAACAAGGTCCTCCGACGAACCCCCACCACGGAATACTGTACTACACACTGTGCGCGGGAAGCAGCACGATGATGAAGCACCGGAACAACCTCGCCGCGGTTGCCGGTGTCATTCAGAAAAATTCCCGTACGTTGACACTTGTTGACAGTCGCTCGACAACCCGGCCACCGAACAGCGCAGAAGACGCGTTCTCAGAAACTTCATATGACGACATGCTTCTGTGTTGTTTTTCGCAATTTTCGCTTCCGGACAGCCCGCAATCCCTCGCCCGGCGCGGCTGCGAGCTGTCATCTCTCAGCGAGTGAAAATACTCGCCGCCGGTTCCACTCAGACGATTAGGACGAATGGCAAGCCGAGTGAGTTTCTTGACTAACGTGCGTGATTTTGATGTGTTTCAGCTGTGCGTTTCGGTCGTGTCCCCAAGCGGGAAAAAGCGAAAATTCTTGCCGCCATGCAAAAGGTCAATGCCAGTTCTCAAGAGAAACAGCTGAGCGCCGAACTCGAGGACGAGATGCGTCTCTTCCAATCGGTCGTTCAAGCTCACGAGGAGACGTGTGAATTCACCAGCGATAAAATCGCCCCAATGATCGAACGTGCCCGAGTGGATCCCGTCTACGCGCGCTGTCCCTCCGGACTGGTGAGTTTACGCCTCATCTATTTAGGGAAAGCCTCCTGGATTAGCACTGGGAGCTAAATTCGTTGCTGATGCCGCTTCTGAAGCCGTCGCTACCGTCGTCGGCGTCGGTGGCGCTTGTCTAGTAGTAGTTGTAGAGTGTTACGAAGAGTACTTCCTCGGCGACAATACACTTCGTTACGACGTCGTCGACGTTGCCGCTACTGTCGTGGTCCCTTGGCAGCCCAACGGCCTTGGCAAGTCCACCACTGACAAACAGATTACGCAATGACGCGCCGACGCTCTCCGGTTGAGCGAGAGCGTCTAGCTGTGACTTGCGTGCAAGTGTGTCCTTCTATCGTTTGAGTCTGATCGCCGCCGCCGCCGCTCCGTCTGTCTGTCTGTCACGCTGTCGGACGGTCCCGATCTCCGGCCGCGCGTAACCCGCTCTTGGCATTGAACGGCGAGCGGCGAGAATCCTCCGTGGTTCGAGAATAGGTAAAGAAACCTTGACAGCCAGACGCATAGGTAGAGGAGGTTCAAGGTCAAGTTGTTTACCGACGTGTGGCGTCTGCTCTGCTCGCCTCGAGGGCCGCCTGAGTCTAGCCGCCTGCCTGCTGCCTGCTAGTCGCTCAGTCGGTCGGTCGGTCGGTCGATCATTCCCATTCTCTCAGACTCGTTTCCCTACAACGCGTGGAATCGCTTTGTTTGGAATGAAGAGATTCTCTTGTCGTTTGTGGAGGGATTTCACGGGAACTCATTGAAGATAGAGGGCAAATAAATTGAGCTTGATGTTATGACTGAGCCGCCGCCGGCTGAGCTCCTCCACGTGACGGTGCTGCCTCTTGATTAGACGGCCTTGAGCCGGCGAACACATTGCACTCCCGCCCCCACGGCTCCCCTCTGCCCCTCCCCTTCCCCTCCCCCAAACCGCTGAAGGTCGTTTGTTTCTCTTCTACGGATAGATAGATGGATGGACGGACGGATGGCTCGACAGACGGACGGGGGGGGGTCTTCCCTTTCCCGCTCCGCTCGCGAACCCACCACTCTCAGATTTCACTCTAATCAAGCCCCATCTCGCTCTTTACTTTTCCCTAAGCATCTCTCCCCCACCCCCACTGCGGATCTATATTTAGTTTGCTCAGGGGCTTAGTTCAGAAGCTCGAAGCAAATCAGACAGAAGATGGAAGGCTACAGATGAGATGACTAGCTGAGGAAGAGGAAGACGTCTCAGACATCGATTGCCATAATGTGAACGTTGTTTTTGTTTTTCTGGTCGCCTTCTAGCTAGGGTGAAATCAAGCAACGCATCAAGCGCTGACCTTCGGATTTTCTTCTTGCAGGCGTGTCCGTTGAATCCTCAGAGTCCGGATGGAACGAATCGTTTCATGGAAGACTTTTCCGAAAGATTCTCTCCGGCTATCCGAGGGGTCGTGGAGTTCGCCAAACGAATCCCAGGCTTCTCGCTGCTCGCTCAAGAAGACCAAGTCACGCTACTGAAAGCCGGAGTGTTCGAAGTTCTTCTGGTCCGGTTAGCGCGTCTGTTCGACTCGGCCACCAATCAGATGATCACGTTGAACGGTCAGGTTCTACGGAGGGATTCGTTGCATTCGTCCTCGAACGCCCGATTTCTCCTGGATTCGATGTTCGAGTTTGCCGAGCGAATGAACTCGGTTGGTCTTTCCGATCCTCAAATCGCCATCTTCAGCGCCACCGTCATCATCGCTGCCGGTAAGTTCCCGATCAGTTCATCAACCCAATCCGTCGGTTTCAAGGGAGAGAAAGAGAGAGAGAGCGGGAGACAGACAGTAAGGCAGGCAGAGAGAGAAATCCGAAGGTGCGACGGCTAAGCCGCGAGGGCGTTCGTCGATTGAGGAAAGCCTCCGACCGTCTAGCCGTTGGCTGGCCGGCAGGCCCTTCGGCCGGCCTGATTGTTAGCAAAGAGTTTCGTTGCTGTCGTCGCCGCCGCCGCCGCTGTCAAGGCCGCTTTGACATTGGCCCGATTCGAGCACTGTCTCGCGAAGAAAGCACTGGAGTAGCCTATAGTCCGCGCTAGCCTGGCAGCCGTCGCAGGCCTTCCCTATAGGCCTATAGCCTCTGCTGCTACCGCTAGGAAGGGAAAGGGCCATGCAGACCTTGACCGCGTTTTGCGCTCACTCGACGACGACTCCACTCTCAGAATAGCGTCGGTTAGTAACGTCGCTCGTGTTTCCTCGCTTACAGATCGTCCCGGACTGAGAAACAGCGAATTGGTGCACAAAATCCAGCGACGGCTGATGGAAGTTCTCCAGAAAGCCGTCTGCCCCACGGCCGAGGACAACTCTGTGTACACGGAACTGTTGAAGAAGATTCCCGACCTGCGAACGCTCAACTCGCTCCATTCGGAGAAGTTGTTGGCCTATAAAATGGAACCGCAGTCGACAACGCCGCCCTACTCGGCGCCCGAACCCTGGACCGGAGTTCAGCCCACTCCTCTGAACGTTCCCTGTGCAGCTCATGAGAGATGGTCTCCGATTGCGTCGCCGCACTCGTCGACGTCATCGCTCGACAGTGCTCTCGCCGCTCCGAAGAGTCCGGTGAGAACGAATTCGTTCAGTTCGTCAACGAGTTCGACGAGTGAGCTTACCATGGTAGTCGACAGTACGATGTACCGTCCCTTCCGCGCCGCCCGTGTCGATTCGCCCACCGACTCCGGTATCGAGTCGGGCAAGGAGCACGGCAGCTGTACTCCGACCACGTCGGTCTGTTCTTCGCCGCGATCCACCGACGAAATCGAACACGCCGCCACCGACGACGATATGCCTGTGTTGAAACGCGCGCTTCAAGCCCCTCCTCTGGTGTCGCCCAATCAGCTGATGGAGGAAGCTTATCGGCATCACAAGAAACTCCGCGCGGCCCAGGCCGTCCGAGCCCATTCGCCCCCGGCTTCGTCGACAACCGATCTCGCCACGGCGCATTCGACGCTGGTCGGAGCTCTGCAACAGGCGCCGAAGTTTCTCAACGAGCAGCAGATGAAGCGTACCGATCTCATCCATAACATCATCATGAGAAACGAGGCTCCTCTAAAGTCCTGTCCCTTCAGTCAGCAGCAGCAGCAGCTACTTCAACAACAGCCCGTGAGCTCGTCGTCTCCTTCCCCGCCGCCTCCGCAGACGTCTGTGAGTGAGTCTCCTTTGAACCTCTCGACCAAGATGGTGAAGATGGAGTCCTAAAGTCTTGATGGATCTCGACTCTGATCGTGGTGGAGGATCACTGGAAGATCGAGCTCAACAACTGCAAATCTAAGTCAAGTTCCGCTCGTCGTCATCGTTTCATCGCCGATGTCGTCCTCATGCGTCGCCTCGTGAGCCGGACCTTACCCTGGAACGGTGATCGTCGCCAGTTCTGTCGACGCCAACGATCTGCTTCAGGAAACGCGAGCGAGATTCCTGCGAAAACCCAAGTATTATCACTTCATTTGTGCAATGAGTGCAATTTGCGAGACGTTCGAAAAACCTACCAACAGTTCATTAAGCAACCGACCGAGCGAGCGACCAACAACCCCGAGCCCGCGATTCCCGCTCCCCTCCACACACACTCTGTGATAACACGTAAATACATGATATTTTGCCGTAGACTTCCGCTATCCCCGCAGTCGCCGTCGCCGCAACCGTCGCTACTCTGCCCCAGTAATCCTAGCTGCGCGGTCATTTTCGGAACTGACGCGTATTCTCAATGCATACATATACTCGGCAGCCGAGCCGTCGAAAATTAGATAGGATCGAGTCATGTAGTCACGGCAGACGGTGCGTTCTGCACCGGAATCCGAGCAAACGAAAACCCACAGTAAATCGAGTTCTCAACAAGTGGTAGCTTGGCAGAGTAAGCGGAACATGGCGGGCAGGCTGGCAGGTGGGCAGGCGGGCAGGCGATCGGACAAACGAACGGTGGAATGAAGGCGATCCCCATCGAGCGGATTCGCGTATTTCCACCTGTCGTGGTGTCCAATTGATAATTATTATTATCATCATCGTCAACAACATCATCCAGACAAAAGAAAACACTCTTCGACGAACAAACTCTTGTACAGTATACGGGTTGATCTTCGTTTAGCGCCAGTCGACGACGGCGGTGGCTTTCTGTTGGGCGTCCTTTCGCAATTGCAAGAAGCATCATGTGTTGATGTTGGTCGACGTCATCCCCTGTTGACTTTCATCGATAATTATTATTTATATCTACGACAACCATAAACCTAAGCAAAATTGTGGACAAATAGAAAGGCAGTTTCATCGAGCATTGTATTATAATAGAACCAATCAATAGATCAAGGGAGAGAATAACTATGTATTAAGTAGAGGCTCACGGCGAACTAGAGTCAGACTCCGTCGAACGCTCTTCTTTTCCTTTCTCACGGGCAGACCGCGCCTTTTCAATCGGCACGACAGTCGGACGCGGGATAGTGGACTCGACGAGCGCGAGCGTCTCCTCGGGTCCACACAACGTTGCGGCTCGTGTGCTCTTGTAAAAAAAAAACGGCGGTTTGGTCCCTCCGGTGGTCGAGAGCCGCGATCTCGAGGCGCTCGATTGGAATTGTACCATAAGATATTGTATCTCAGAACCAGTGTACCATACCTCTCGAAAGACAAACGTCGATCAGCAAACAACGTAGCCATAAGTTGCGTTATTGTGATGCTCGTGCATCAATGTCAAGTTGGCGATCCACTGTATATATAATTATATGAACCTTGAGCATGTCTCTTGCTACATCCGGAAGGGACGTCGATTCTCATCCCGAATTCAACAGACCCAAATCACCCTTGAGAAACTCAATTTCGAAAGGCGAAACCAAATCAAATATGTGAGCTCTATGGTAATGTTGTATGGAGATCGTGATTGATGGAGTGGAGAAAGTTTTAAGGAGAACAAAGCGACGAGTTCGAAGACGGAATCCTTAGAGAAAATAAAAGGAAAAACAATCCAAGGGAGATATTGAACCGAATCCGAATCTTTTTCTTTCCGCTAGACAGAAAAACCTTCCGCCCTCCGAGAAATTCCATCAATGATCAGAATAGGTTCAACGAAGTCGCGAAGTACCTCAATCTGACTGGATCGCATGGATCTCCATTCCGGCATCCTTCTTCCAGCTAAAATACATATAAGCCGGAGCCGAGCCCCTCCAAGCGGCCACAGTCCCCAAGAGCCCTGATTAGCATGTTGTCCCATCTTCCGGATTATCGACCGGGAATTACGTGTCACTTCGCCGTCCTCACAGATCGAATAAAATTTTTCGGCTGAGCTAGGGAGAAGCCGATGAACGCCGGTAATCACGCACGGAGTGTGACACTCACAGCTGCCCTCGACAGAGATTGTTCTGTGCCCACTGCCGATTGCCTTCCATCCTCCCTGATATCAACCTGAGCATCCATCATCCAGGAGCAGCCAATGGCCGTCTGACTGAGAGATCCCGAGCCAGGAACTCGCTCTGAGCGATCGTAGGTTAATCGAGGTCGCGGCCTTAATCTCGCTACAGATTCGTGGAGAGGGAACATTTCATCGTCGGGGACAAAGGAGGAAATTCAGGACGGGAATGGGACTTTATAAAATTTCAGAGGGTTGCGCGCTCGGAATCCCGAAGGAGTTCAATATCGGATCTCCCCAGAACTTGGAGAGTGGCTAGCTTCGTGAAGCTCCTTCCCGAAGTCATCCCTTCTCGTGTTGGTGTCTTTTTTCGCTTGTGATGATCTCGGCCCGAAACCCGCGTATGACATGATGGCGAGACGTATTCTCCGTGTGTTTTCAAGGAGGGCATGGGTTCCGTTGATTTCTTGTCGCTCTCCGATCCCAGAGCTGAAGACAGAAAGACAGCCGCGAAAATCTTACGCTCAGAAACCGCACACTCTCGGTTTCTCGTGAATGGGGGGCAGTGTTTACCGTTGACTGAGTGGGACTATAGTATTGGGAACTTGCGATCCCCGCCGTCGACCTCCACGGTATGTGGCGGGGACGGCTACTCATTCAGACAAGGATACGAGAAAAAGGGCAGACCACGAGACGATGGGCCTTACATTGGCCTCGGCACGCTGGACGGAAGGCATTCGCAATGCGGAAGAGGTCAGTTGCTGGCGATCGACGATATAGAAAGTTCAGTCGATCCCTTTCCTGAGCTGATCACATCTCGGTGGGATGGGGGAAAGGGGGGCATCAGGTTGCTCGTCCGTTTCTTCCCCGAAGGTAAATAAATGAAATTAAAGTGAGCTTCGATGATGCATCATTGGAGAGAATTTCCCCGAATGAGAACATCTGGAATCGGAGCGAGGCACCGACCGGACGGCGCGGCGTGGCCTTTCAACAGTTACCTCCTACTGTTGGCCGTCTTGCTCGCTCGTTTCGGAGAATCAGTTGCTCGGTCGGTCACTCGAATATTCTAATCTGCGCGGATATCGAGACAGCCTTGACGACTTAGTGAGTCATTTCTCTTGTGCACCGACATTCTTAGCTCGCCGCTGTCGAGTTTAGAAATCTCGTCGGAATTATTCGACATTTCTGGCGATCTTTCGACCGCTGAGAATTCGACACCGGGAACCCACTCACGGTGAGCTCGAAAAAATCACAGGCAGCTCCTGGCAGTCCGACCTGATGCAGACGTAAAGTCAAGATTGGAATCCAATTCTGGACACTAATTCGCTTCCTCCTCGCGAGCATTCGAAGAACACTGGCGAATTCGAGGGCGTCCGAGAGAAATAATTTTCCCGTCGGGTCGTCGAGTCACTTCTGGCTCGGCGTTACGCCGGCACGTGGGCCGGCTCGTCCAATGGCTGAGCTCGTCTGTTCGAATTTGAAACTGCTATCCGGTGCTGCTGCCTGATTCTCGGTTCCAGAGCGACCTCAAGTCTCAGCATGCGGCGAGCGACATCGAGCGTCTCGTTCGCGACTCAGCAAGTCGAGGCAAACGTCACGGTAATCCTTCTACGGAGGCCAAGGCCAGCTCTGGGCTTCAGGGTCGATTGCTCTCTTGGCAAGAGTACTCAAGTCTTGTAGGTGCACAAGACTCGACAGACGTCTGTCTGGATAGTCTACGGGGCTTTGATTGAGTCACACAACCCGAAAGAGCAAAGCGTCGGAATTTCCAACGTCGGGGTCATTTGTATCCCAAACTCGACTTTCGAGCAGCTCAATCTTCATCGCCTTCGCATGGTGTCAGTGGGCTCGTGCATTTTTCCCAATTCTCTTTCCTGCTATCCTGCTGTCCACGGAGCGGGGGACATGCGGCAAATCATTCGGAGAGGTTCATCCGACATGAAAATCGTAAGCTTGTCCAGAAGAATACCGCTGATCCTCGCAGTCTCTGAGCGATACCAAAATCGAGCTTTGTGCTTCTTTACGGTCTGAAACCTTCCTTCTGACGGCGACGTCGATCGCTTTCACGAGCCATGCAGCGCATGGCCTCGGGCACTCAACTGTTGAGGTTGCGCGATGGACTGTCAAACTTGATATTCTCATTATCGGAAGCGGACGGATGAGCAACGTTTTTACTGCTCCATGTCCGCCGCGGCTGCCATTGCAAAACATTCAATGTCACCTCGCTGAACACTTGCACAGCGGCATCGACGTCAATATGACCGACCGAAGTTCTCCTCAAGTTCGCGATTCCTATCCGTGAATGTTCCGTAAAAAGAGCGGATCCACTGTGCGGGATCCCGATCCATGTAGAATTCGAGGTTCAAGCTCGGCGAACGACGATTTCTCCGAAGCCTTAGTTAGGGCGATCGAAAGTTCGATTCGATTGAGAATTTGGTACGGTGCAGGTTGCGCCGACCAATTCTCGGTGTGGGTAATCATCGCTTGCGTTGGAGGTTCCAGTGAATGGCCACGGGGACTCGCAGCCCCGGCAAGGCTTAGAGACCAGAAGGGTTCCTGGCTGGTCAAAGCTCAAATGACACCCGAGGAGACCGAAGTTGACGTCAGACCAAGGCAATGGAAGGCTAGAAGAGTCTCATTCTCCCGTCAAACCTCATCGGGATCGCATCCGCTGTCTTGTCTCATCGTAAACTGAGCTTTCTGCGATCCAAAGAATCGAGGATTCTAAGCCTCCCGATTTCCGCTTTCCTCTCGGTTTGCTCTGAGTGAGACACTCAGATCATCCGACTGTCGTGGGCGATCCGACGCCCGGTGTTTGTCAATCACTGCGACACTGGTCTCTGGGCTCCGCAACGCTTACGGAAAGCGTTCTGGG